TCTGTTTTCTATAACTGATAATAAATAATGATAACATTTAGGAAAATAGATGTCTATCAAAATGCTAAAAATGAAAATAGAAAATTAAAAACAAATGAAAAATCTCAAAAACCAAATTGGAAGATCAATTTGAACCCACAGTAATATAGGGATTTGGAACAAGAATACTTGAATAATAATAAACAAGGTCGACTGGCCAATCTGTATTGTTACCGAAGGACATATTGTTATGAATAGTAAACGCGATATTATTATCAGTTTTAATGTTGTCGTAAAACAGCGTGCATGACTGAAATTAACCTAATATGTTAATGAGAAAGTTGTTTACCCCTTTTGGCCAGAATTGGGTTGAAATTTTGCTTCATGGTTCAAAAATAATAATTTTACGTGCAGTAGAAAAAACGGTGATTTTCATCTACAAACGTTTTTTCAGAAATTATCCTGGTAGGCAAAATATTCCAGTGTTATTTCGAGTAGCGGAATTTTATCAACAAGTAACCACATCTGAATTGAAAACTTTGCGCAATTCAAAATAATATATGGTTCCAGGCTTTAAGTAAACTGCCAGAGATGATGAATCTACTGGAGATCAGATATATAAAAAAATAATCAATTTTTACAGCTATATCGAAATTGCTGTGGACTACTTCCTTAGATAGTTGATTATTCGTATCCTCTTGAAGAGAAAAATCGGAGAAAAGGATTTTGCCTATGTACTAACTGAATTATTTTGTTCAGAAGGAAGAACGTTTTGTATCAATTCGAATCCGTTGAACACTAATAATTTAGTGAAGGCAATGACATCTCCCCTTACAAAGACGGCATCCAGGGTTTGACAGAAGACTCAATCCATGAATATCAAAGATAAACCAGACTCCCCAAATCCAACTTTTGACATCATCCGTCGAACGAGATTCGTCCGTTGTCTTTCACTACAAGGCAGCTATATGAAACCAGATTTCTAGAGCTCGTGACCCATCACCAGACTCGTTGTTTCGATCCGCCAAGGTCGCATCTGATACCAAACGATGTCAGCCTAGTATCACCTTGGCGCTGTCTAGTGTTGGATCCTTACAGAGTATCTCGGGGAATGATTTACTTGCATGAAAATGTAAAAGTAACGTGATATCTAAGTTTTGTTTCATTTATTTTGGTAAAAGAGTGTTGCAATACTTGAACAGCATTGCTCTCCAATGTCAAAGCTTTGGTACTAGAATTTCCAAACACCATGACCAAAAGGAAATTATATTTCGGTGTAGAATCACACTAACATTTGAAATCTATCATGAATGGAGGATATTAATAACTATAAGAACCCTTACAGGAGCATAGAGAGACATAAAAGAAATATTTAAAGATGATTTGAAGAATACCGAGATGCAGCAAATATTGGAGTTACGTTGGCATCAACGATGAACTCTTTAGTAAATATTCTTGAAACAAATGAGTTCAGAAAGAAAAAATCTATAAGTATGGAAAATAAGGGCAGCTGTAATGAATGAATATACCAAACTGAAAAGCACCGAGTCTCTAGATCAAGGAACACTAGCTACTGACTCATTTAGAACCTATCAGATTTTGGGAATAGATAAGAGTTCGCCAATTCCCGAAATGAGATAGATTGTGGACGCCCTCTAAAAATACACGAAGAGCTCAAACGGAAAATGAAAATAGTACTGTGATCGCTGAATATGGATATGTTTGAAACTGGATAAGGCGATTTCATAATTGATAAAATGGATTCTGAAGTACCCGAGCTTTGAATGATAGATGGAATAAGAAGCCGTCGGATAATAGATAACAGTAAGAAGTTTTTGAACCCGTGTCTTTGAACACAACAAAAATTGTCGCCAGGGGCATATCTACAAGTCAGCAATGATCGAACATGCATTCAGAGAACGAATTAACGTTATCTGCTTGACAGAACTCAAATCTACTATCCAAGATTATAAAGGGAGAAACTCAGAAACATAAAGACAATTTCAACAAAAAGGAAGAGGGAATCAACAACAATGAATTGCTTTAACTTGCACTCAATACACGAATCAGACTAATTAACTCAACCGATAAAAACGAAACCACACTCGCCACCGATGAACTAAAACAGGAGACCTGTGTTATTATACCACTATGAAATTATGTTGAATGAACTAGAAATACACCGTCAAACTCAGGAAAGATGATATGCCATTCAATTTATCGAGAAAAGAAATAAAACAGTATAAAAATCGTCAGGTAACACCCACTTTTACCGTCTCCGCCAATCAGCGCGCGTAACGGGGATACAAATTAAAACGAATTTCCACAACGAGAGCATCTCCACCGAGCTGCAGGCTCTGAGGCTGTTCGAAAATTCCATCTCAGAGCTGAACAACAGAAACACAGTCTATCTCGTACTTCTGGACATTTCAAAGGCCTTCGACTGAGTCTGGCACGAAGGCCTACTGCATAAATTGCTCGATTTCGATCTGCCTCGGGGTCTGGTCCGGTGGATAAGATCCTTTTTAAAAGGTAGAACATTTCAAGTTCGAATTGAAGAAACCCTGTCTGCTGTCAGGGAAATCCAAGTTGGAGTACCGCAGGAGCTGTGCTGTCTCTACTACTGTAGAGTCTTTACGTGAGCGACCTTCCGAGGTTCGATCACGTGAAGGATTCCCTTTACGCCGATGATACGGCTCTCCTTGCCTCTTCCATGGGTCGGGCGTTGGCGGTCGTCTACATGCAACGTGCATTGGATTATCTCGAATTCTGGTACCTCGACTGGAAGATTCGATATGAATCCAGAAAAAACTCAGGCGTTAGACTTGGGGAAATGTAACGTTTCTCCAGACACAAGGGTCACGATCTCAGGCAGGGAGATCGAATGGCAAACGCGAGTCAGATACCTAGGTCTTTGGGTAGATCGCCGACTCACCTGGGCAAATCAAGGCAAGAGCAAGGTTCAGTCGAGGATAGCTAAACTCTATCCTCTGGTCAACAGACATTCAAAACTCAACCTTGAAAATAAGGTTTTACTATACAACACGATGTTCAAGCCTGTCATTATGTATGCTTCAGGTGCTTGGTGACAAACCGCCCCGTCAAATCTTTCCATTCTGGAAAGATTACAAAAAAAACTTCTCAGGATGCTGGTGGTTCGTACGGAATGAAGCCATCGCAGAGATTTGAAGCTGTTAACTATACGGCAGTCCATTCAGTCGAAGAATCAGAGAGTTTTCGAGTCAGCAAAAACTCATGATGACCCATTAGTTAGGAAAGCTGTAGACGAACCCACCCAATTCAGAAGGCCCCGCCGCACAATTGAGTGAAGGCCCCACGACGTCTGTTGAAATGAACAGTTTGTTCATCAAGTACCCCAGACAGAAAGGGGTACACAAGGCCAGAGAGGCATAGAGGTCACTGACCTTTATGTCGTCACCCAACACCTCCAGTCATGAACCATTTGTTCTCCTGATGCACCTCAGTTGAAAGTTTAAGGGAACTATTTCCAACCTGATTTAAATGAAGATAATCTGCTGAACGAGAGCATTCGCTCGCTATTCGCCAGTCAGACTGTTGAGCTTGAGCATTCGCTGTTCACTAGTTGAACTTTGGTATTCAGAGCACGTAGTTATTTGAATAGATAATTGCTCTTCTTTTGAAGGCAATTTTTTTCTATTGCTGTTCAAAATAGTAACGTTGAAGTCTGTTTGTTTCTCATCAAACAAATGTATATGAAGTAGAACGATAAAGGAACTATTTCAATTTAGCATATTGTTGAGTCAACCAAATATAATACAAAGAACTCGTCAAAACTTCAACTGTTCGTCAGAACAACAAAACATTATTCATTGAGAATAAATGAAGGAAAATTACCTGTGCCACATATTCTCAAATATTCCTGCCTCGAGGTGAAGAACTCTTGAAGTTACCAGGCCATTTGGACAGCGGTGACGTGAGGTTATGTTACTGCCCCAGGAGCCCGACGGAAGCTGTTGACTAATTTCGTCTTCGGGCAGAATTTGTCTCACAGGAACGCCTACTAGTGTTTGGATGATTGAATCCACGAAGAATCAACTATTGTAATGATATATTCCTCGTGGATCCTACCATCTACAGTGCTTAATGTACTGCACTGCGGCTGACAACGCATCTCACAACTTCAAAAATTGGTAACGTGTCTCGCAGGTCACTTGCGTGGATTTGTGTGCAGTGCTCAGCTAGGGAGCGTGGGGAACTTTTGCAAACCGGGTACCTATAAGCCAATGTAGTGTCACAAGAGGTTTTTTCGGTCAGATTCAGCAAATCATAGAGAATAATGATAATTTTATATATATATTGCAACTCATCCAACTAGAGGTTTGATTCTGCAGGGATCAACTTCAACGAGTATTTGGCGATATATATTAAAGCCTTTCCAACTGAATAGCATCGGATGATAAACAATAATCTCAGTAGCCGAGGTACCAGATTCATGCCCCAATCATTAGATTCTCTTTTATCTAATGAACCGGAGTTGAAACAGACCACAACCCCGAAAAATGTATTATGCATTGTGACGACAATGTGTCCTTTCTCTTACCACTTTTGATAGTGACTCCTCGATTAGAGACGAAGTCTCAGGCATGGAGACATACAGACCACGGCCAACATCTACAGAAAATAGCTTTGATGAAGTCAGAAGTTGAAATAACTGTATCTTTCATGTACTCACGATGACTTCCTGAATACCAAGTGGTAGAGCCCAGACGAAATAACATAAGAGATTTCGTATAGTTCTTGTAATTTATCCAAACAAAACTTATCGCAATGTCCTCTGCTTCAAAAAATAAAAATGCATTGTACAAACCACCCAATTCAACACCATTTGAAGTAAAGGAAATCATTACTACATAATGGAGATCCACCCTGTATTAACAATACTAGCAATTATGTATGTGCGGCATTTCTAACTGTATAACCTTTCAGCATTTAGTTTATCAAAGAGAAGCACGGTGCTGCGTTATGGATGCAAGAATTCATTGATTCACATTGGTAAACAGCACTCGCTCTCGTGTTTAAATAAAACCCTGGTGTTAGTTGATAAATAATGATAACGAGAGTCGAGTAGTTGAATTAGTCGTTGGAAACCCACCGGGAATCGTAATGTCGGCTTCTAATTGGAATCGGTTGTTTACGGAGATTTTAAAAATTCGTGGTGTTGTGTTACTGTGGATAATCCGGGTGTTCTAGTTCTGTTGCGCTGAAGATGGATTGTCAAGTAGAAACGTGGATGTTTTGGAATTGCGGTAATGTATTTTTGGCCACCGTTCAACACTTGAGGCGAAAACGTAGTTACAAAGATAATGCTTTACAAAGTGGCCCACGTAAATCTTTCATGGACTGTCACAACAGAACAATTTGGTTTTGGTTCATGATAGCAAACTTTAAAAATGTCTACTTGTCACACTAAGATTTTGAGGCCGCAAAATATCGTTTCCCACAGGATATGCACATAAATAATAATTATATATTTCAAGATCTATTTTTCACCTACAGGCCGTTTCTTTATCATTGCTATATTCTAAAACGTAACAGATACGAAGACTTTACATAGGAAAAAAGGTGACTGTCATCGGAAACAATACAATGGTCAAAGTAAATTTACGGGGAATGTCGCCTTCTCGAGTTATACGGGGAAAATCAAAAAAACTGTTTTTCGTTTTTTCGATGGAATTGTCATTTCGAAGAATATCAAAAAATTTGTTTGAAGGGTACTATGACGATGTAATAAGAAATATTCGACGTTTCTTGTCAACATGGCCACCATTAACTTTTTTTTTCAAATACGAACCTGTCTTTCATTGCAGATATTGATGAAGCAATGAATTCACAATCCAAGGGTATATAACATTTGATATTTTCATAGTGTTTCATTTGAAATAACTACCATCATCAGTGACAACAATTTGAAATTACGGTCCTGTCGTTACTTTTTTGTAAACTGGTTGGATTTCTTCAAAATATAATTCAGACAATCCAATAAATTCGACAGGTAGGTACCCTAAACACAATGAAAATTCGTACTTTTTCGTTTTGTGAATTTTTGTATTGCCGTAATATTTGCTTACCAATAACATTTATTTGATTCCTCACACTTCCAGTAACCACACATTTTCTTGTTTTCTTTCTGTCAAATGCACCATAGTCCCTCAAATTTATTTCTAATCATCTAAACATGTGGATGTTCGGAATACGACGATTCGGGTATAGCTCAACATACATACTCCTTGCCAAAAGAAGATTTCTATTTGATTTTGCATAACTAAGTAGCATATCAGTCCTTTCATAGTTTGAATACATCTTTGATATGTTCATAAACGTCTTACAGTTCTCAACAGATTTCAACAACGCATTCATTTTTCCTGCCATAGAAACCAAGCAAAGCCTACGCGTTTAAGATGGTATTTGATCATACCAAATTATACAACAATCGAATTTTTTACTTTATTTACTTCCAGGATTGAGAATTATAAAAATATTTTGAATTATCATTGATTAGGGAGGAATAAGCCTTGAAAGAAGGATTACGGCAATACAAAAATGTTCAAAACGAAAAAGTACAAATTTTCATTGTATTATGGTACCTACCTGTCGAATTCATTGGGTTGTCTGAATTATATTTTGAAGAAATCGAATCAATTTACATAAGAAGTAACGACAGGACCGTAATTTAAAATTGTTATCACTGATGATAGTAGTTAATTCAAATGAAACGCTATAAAAATATCAAATGTAATAATACCCTCGGATTGTGAATTTATTGCTTTATCAATATCTGTCAGGAAAAAGACATGCCCGTATTTAAAAAAAAGTTAATGTTGGCCTTGTTGACACGAAATATTGTATCGAATCTTATTACACCGTCATAGTAGGTACACGTCGAATACAGCATTTTTGGTTTTCCCCTTATAACTCGAGAAGGGCCAGAGTCCCCGCAAATTTTCTTCGATCATTCTATTGTTCCTGATGACAGTTATTTTTTCCCATTTAATCGTCTTCGTATCTGTCACGGTTTAGAATATAGCAATGTTACCACATGATAAAAGAAACGATCTGTATATTAGATTGTTGGACATTTATGAAATTAATAATAATAATAAATATGCTTTATTGTCCAAAGAAAATTTCTTATTGACAAAGCTTTGGTGAACATAGTCAAGTACATGAAATCAGAATATAAGCTAGTAGATTGATAAAAATATCTAGAGTCCTACCATAAATAAAAAAAATGTATAGAGAGAAATGTGTATAAAATATGATCAAAAGGTATCGTCATAAAATTGGGTTGATATTCATCCACTTGATTTATCTTAACGAACTAGTGTGTCTGTTTCCTGAATTCGTAATCAAATGGACCTCTACATAGACGATAAAAAGGGTAAAACCTATGATTTGTTATTTCTAGAAAAGGATTGTTCCTTCATCCGGAGTTAAAGGGGTTGGGATAGCTTCAGTCATAAAAAAAAATCGAAAGGCGAGAAAAAGAAGGATAGTGAAAAGAAAATGAAAGGCATAGAATTTAAAATTCCAGTTCGCATGAATTTTTTCAACTGTGAACTGTGTTTTGAATACATATATCATGAGTGTTTACTTGGCAAAAGTTTAGAATATTTTGAACTTCCAAACGCTACTTACTATATCAAAACACCTAAGTGTGAAAAGAACTGATTCAAATGAAGGAAATCGCACGTTAAAAGGTGAAACCTTGTTAATTCTTAACTCTCCCAAGTTTAGACTTTTGAGAGTTGTCGTTCGTAGGGGGCGATAGCTGGTTAACGGAAAAACAGATAAAAAAAAAATATTTCACACTCACCTTAAATATGATTAAAAGTTCAAAGAAAATCGGCTTTGCACTGTAACTCAAATAATGTGTCCGGAAAAATATAGTCAGACTTTCTTCTGAATTGAAGAACTCCAAGAAAATTTCATGTCTATGTCAAAAAAATATTTAACAGTTCCGATAACTAATATAATTTGAAGAACCTAGCTTTCATAATAACACAAAAAGTCTCACCTTAATAGGCGATTGTTCGCGTAAAGGACCTACAAAAATTCTGAGGTGAAAAATTTGTTGTTTGAATATTACATATTACAAGAATTTTATCGTATATCACATAAATATGAAAGATTTGTTTCATGGGCTTGCGGTCTATTATTTCTGCATATTGCGAATCAACTCTTTCATAAAAATATTTTTGTCTATTTTCATGTTGATATTCTTTGTTTATGTTCATTCATGTTCCTGCATACTGATTACTTCTAGTATTATTTCAATTCCTTTTATATCTTTAAATTTATCAATGGTAATTTATTTGTTAAGGCTTTGTGATTTTTCTAGTGTATAATGTACTAAAATATTTCAGAGAGCTCAGAAATATTTCAGTACAAATTTAGTTTTTTTACAATTTTTCGAAAATTTGACATTTGCCGATTTCTCAAATTTAGCCAAACCTTAACAAAGTTAGTGCTTTATGCCTAACTTATCTTTCCAACGCATTTTTATTACCAATTGCAATTCTAAATACAACTTATTTCGCAAAAATTTAAAACACCAGAAAAAATTATGCCAAAAATGATGCAAAGTTGATACAGTTTTTAAAAACAGATGAATATTTCACTTTATTTCTATTTTTTGCGAAATAGCTTGATACATAAGCATTATTAAAAAACAATATCAATGAAAAGTCAATAATTTATTCTTTACTGCACTTTTCAAACAGTTAAACTTTGATTTACTAATCACGAAAAATTACAACGAAATTAAACTAAGGGTACTGTGGAAACAATTGAACTGAACTGAATAAGCTAAATATTTTATTGTCATATGACATTTGTTGAATAACTCAAAATACTGTTTATCAGTTTTAGATTTAAAATAGTCTATTCGTTGTCTAGTGTGTTGTTAAAAATTCTGAATCTTCAAGAGAAAATTGAAATCGTTTTAATATGCGGCAAAATATCGGTCACCGACAAGTAGCTGATATTTTCAATGCCAGACATCCTGCAAATCGGCAAATGTCAAATTTTCGAAAAACTGTAAAAAAACTAAATTTGTACTAGAGAGCTAAAAATTGGTATATGGGTAAAAAATGAAAAAACAATCATCTTTTCTCTCTACCGATTTTCGAAATTTCGAGCAATAACTGCTTTTCTGAACATTTTTTGGAAAAAATGTCAAATTGGACAGGAAATAAAAATCACTTGATCGGTCATATGCATATCATTTGGCATCATTTTAAAAGCACAACCTAATGGAGATATCAAAAGTTGCTTGAAGAGATAAACAAAAAAAAATCCCATTTGATGCGGACTTTATGTGTGACACTGTATAGTATTTTTCTGAAAACTCATATTTCTAATAATTTTTTTAAAATATCTTTTTTATCGTCCATTGACAGAAAAAAAAACGTAAATTTCATTTTCAGATTGACACGTTCAATATTTCTACTGTTACATATTACCTACTTAGACTTTTTATTCATCAGTACTTTGTACTGATGCTCTGTCTTTTTAGACAGAGCATCAGTACAAAGTTTATACTTTACCACTACTATATTGTGAGTTATTTAAGAAGCAAAAATGAAAACATGTTTGTGGCTCTTTTATGCTTTTAATATACCTGAAATTCAAACTTTAATTCAATTATTTTTTCCAGTTTCAGTGGATTTTGGTCCCGCCAGGGTGAGGACCCAACACCCTGGATATTCGGCAGGGTAGACGAAGCGTTATTCTCACCACGCAAAGAATTCGACAAATTTCATTCATCCAGAGCAAACGTTGTATATTTTCAAGAAATTATCGGCACCACCGGTATAATGCAAGACGAAGATTTACGCAAAGTTCTCGAAGAAAAAGCTAAGCGGCACCGCGATTATTACGAATCTTTACTAGGAAACGATAAATCGAAACACGTTACTTCTGCTACCAATCAAGAGATGGCGAATACTGTTACGCAGCGTGATGACATTACAAGCGATGGCGATGGTGTGAATTCTTCTGTTACCGATGATGAATCTAAGACAGGTAATCAAGGGTCGCTTGAACGAAAATATAGGCAAAGACGACGGGGTGTCTATGAACTAACAGGCACCGTGGATGATTCTTTCACACGATTCCAAAGTGTGAAGCAACTTCGAGAAAATTACATGGCGATGCTGGAAAAGACGTACAAACAGTTATCAGTAGATGATAAGCAAACCGATTCCGTGGAAAAAGAAAAATCAGAACTGCTCGTACCACCTTCTAGTGGGTACTGCAGCTCGTCGGCTTCTGGAGCTAGTGATGACGAAAGGGAGAAGAATTGGGTTCAGAAAAAAATACCTGTAAGAAGGAGTGCAAGTTCGGATTCAGCTGTGCACAGTGATGAAGAGGGACCTATTGTTTTCAACTGGGGTGACAAAAAAGAAGAAGACGTGAGTATTGAAGGTGAGTTATTCTATCTTCTATAATTATTTTTCACAGCACTACGGTTGCTGTGAAGTTTATGAAAGAGTATGGTCACATTTTTTTGAAACGTTCAAAGTCCAAAAAAGTGTTCTGAATGTTGATTTGCTACTTGATATCAAATACTCGGTAGTTTTATCAGTATATTTTTTTGTCCGTCCAACATTTGGAAATCAATTGCTTAATCGATTGATTAAAATAAAGTATGAGTATACTGACGACGTCATAGTGATGATAACCAGGGACTGGTACATACCTGAATTCATTGAAATAGGTACATTCCAAGAAGAAACTGCGATATACAACAATACAATGCAACATTCTGTTTTTTAGTTCTGAATCTTCTGCAGGCAAATTTGATAATAATAGATACCAACACAATCGTTATTCATTAGTATGAATAATTTAGACCTGAACAGTATTAGTACTATACCGAAATTTTCAACTTTATTCTTAAATCTCGCATTATGAAAGTTTAAATTTAATCCCGAAAGTTGTCTTTAGACAATGTCCCTTTTCCTTTGTAAAGTTTTGTGACTCGTGTTAAATAAATCTCTCACTGAAGAAGTTTTTTCAGTGTGTTGGAAAAGTGTATTTTTGAAACCAATCCACAAATCTAGTGACACATCAGAATTGATCAATCACGGTTACTTTCATGATATACAAAATAATTTTGCTGCTTTAGAACAAAGAAATATTACAAGTTTCCAAAAAACACTGCAAACTTATGAGCTCACTCTCTTGCACCTAAGCAAGTAAAATAGGTATTGAAGTGTACGCATGATTTTGCTCTAGGGAATAGTAATACTGATAATAACCAATATGCCAACAATGTAGGCAGAGGCTTACAGTGAAACATATCTTGCTAAATTGTGTCAAATATGATGAAGCTAGACAACGATTCGAAATACCAAATTCTATGAAGGAATGTTTGAAAGATCATAATAAAAGTTTGGATAGAATTATAAAATTTATGAATGCTATTGGGCTATACTCAAAAATTTGAACAAGAAAGCAAATGATAAACAAACTAATAGTAGAAGGACAATTACCTCGTAGTCGACGCCTTTAAACCACAAAAAAATAATGATAATAATAATGACATTTATTCGTGGTGAAAAGAAAACCGATACAAATATATCAGATCTGGGTATGAAAATGAATAAACATAACAATATCCACAATAGTATTTATTATACATACTAATTTGTGGAATCACAATACAGACAAACATGAATAAATAGGAATGAAACTAAGTGTAAAATAAATGTACACCAAATACAATTATACTTTATTAAATTATATTGTTGTAAATCATGCCCTGAAAAGAATAACGCTGGCCGCCACTGGTAGCCATAGACCAATTGTGACGTAGCCAAGAGCGCGCGCATGTACGATGTTCGCTGCCGCTCTAGATGTAGCGAGAATAATGCTACCGACTTCGATGGAATTCCGGCGAATTTTCTACGGCGTTCGATTACGGTATTTAAACGCTAGCCTCGAGCATATTGAGACATTCAAGTGGAAGTTACAGTGCGGTACGCGAAGTGTACTAGTAAGGCGATACACATTCGAATAATAGTTGAAGTGTTTGTTGTATTTTAAGTGAAATAAAGTTAAGTTTGATTATTGCTCAGTGTAGTCAATTATTGGTCTACTCACGGGGAAAAACGTAACAATATTATACAGTATAAAGGAATATGAGTATACATACATTCATTTCAATAAGTGTATAGATGTTATAGTTAATAAATAATGAGTCTATTTATAGGCTATTATTATTCATTTTAATCTGTGAAATGGACAATATATTTGGACAGTAGTTCAACCTTCGATCAGTTTATGAATATCCATTCTTTCATTTTTCTCAACAAATGATATTAATGGTTTTTTGAAAAGTTTCTGAGAAGTTTCATGCGTGTTTTTTTGGGTTAATAGTTGAATAGTTTGGGAGATAGATACCAGTAATTCCTCTGTCCTATAGATTTGGAAACCAGTGGTATACAATGGTGGTGCATATGAATTGTTTGGAGTGTTCGGTTTTGTTTTTGTATAGTTGGCATCCTATTTGAACGAAGTATAATTGTCTGATATCTAAAATTTGTGTTTCTGTATACAGCAAATTACTAGCATATCTTGCAGGTTTGTTGAGCAATATTCGAAGAAATCGTCTTTGAGAGACTTCAAGAGCATATATATGAGTTTTTGATCTGAGCTGGTCGCTCAAAATTGGTAACTTCTTCATCTGCATTTTGAAGATATATTTTTCATGTTTCATGGAAAAATTGTATGCAGGAAACGCCTAAATTGTTGATACCTCTTAAAGTGATTTCAATATAAAATGAATTTCAACTTGAGATAATTCTAAATTGGAAATTTATTCAACAATTTTATTTTTAAGAATTAATATTTTGTATTTGCAAAATTTATCAATAATAACAACTTCCAAGGTCTTCCATTTTTCATTTCCACCTTATCTATTCAGTTGAATTCATGGTCAAGATCAATGACAGCAAAGTCAAAATGAAGAAACGAGAGATAAGGCTTTGCATTATTCAAAATCATTATTCAAAATCATCCTATTCAATAATCTTGCAGAAAAGATTGACGGATCATATCATTCGACTCGGTGTCATCATTGACCATAGATAATAAAACGTGAACTGTACAAGATATCCACAGGGTTACTTTTTAGAATGTTTTCTGGGAACTCGATTGACGCAAATGGAATATTTTTATGAAACCACAGCGCAGGTGGTGTCAAGTCATGCGTTGAAATATACAAGGAGTTCCAGAATATAATTTTTTTTCACGATCATAAATTCGTCAAGTACTTCAGAGGTGTATACTTGGTTTCGGACGAGAATATGCTTCGTGAAAATTCTCATGATTCTGATTTAGATACATTAAACATTCCTGCCTTCTGTAAAATCGATATTGTTACTGCTTATTGCTTACTGCAATAAAGGCCTGTATCGACGTTCTCTCTATACCTCTAATAGGCATATTCCACTCAATTTCAACAACTTGTGCCTTCCCTGAGCAGTGGAAAATGGCTCGAATTTGTCCTATATTGAAAAAAGGCGACTTCACAAACTACAGGGCAATTTCAATTTTATGTAACTTTTCTAAACTCTTCGAGACATATGTGCAATATGTGTCCCATATTTAAAAAGTTATTTCTCCTACTCAGCATAGTTTTCTACCTACAACAAAGATCTTGTATGACAAATCTTACATGTTTAAGTCAATATCTATGTACGTACCTGGACAAGCAAAAACAAGTCAATGTTGTTCATTTAGAGTTTCAAAAAGCCTTCGATCAAATAGACAATTATGTTCTGAGCAAATTGGCAAAATTGGGACTCTCTAACCACTGCTTACTCTAATTGAATCATATTTAGTTAACAGAAAACAATTAATCGAATATGAATCTTTCAAATCGGCTCAGTACGTAGTTACATCTGGGATACCACAAGGGTCTAATCTTGGACCGCTTATATTTTTAATTTTAATTAATGATTTGGCAACCTTTTTGAATATTTCTAGCCTACTATTTACAGACGACCTAAAACTATATTATAAAATCGACGACATTAAAGACTGACAACGTGTACAACATGAATTAGATGTAATCAAACTTTGGTGTCATGATATTCGTCTACAACTGAACGTATCCAAATGTAAAATAATATAATTTACAACAAATGAGCGAATTTTAATGTACGATTATTCAATCAACAATACTACAATCAACCGCGTACACGAAATAAAAGATCTTGGTATAACATACGAGAGTAAATTAACATTCACAACACATATAAGAAATATGACTGCTGATGCAAATAGGATGCCTGGATTCAGTCTCAGGAATGGCAAAAACTTCGAAAGTATTGCCACCTTAAAATTGCTATATTTTGCGTATGCCAGATCTAAGTTAGAGTATGACTCTGTGTTATGGAATCCAGTTTACGACTACCCAAAAACATCAATTGAGAGCGCGCAGAGGAAGTTCCTAAAATACTTATGTCTAAAAGTTGATGGACAATACCCCACGAGAGGCATCGATCATAACATTGTTGACACGATTTGAAATGAAATCTGTGGAAAATAGGAGAGTTATCCGTGGTATGAAATTCCTGCATAAATAACTCAACAACAATATTGACAGTACAGTTCCTTTACCCGTGCAGCGATATTACTGTCATTGCGCGGCTTCTTCAACCTTCTTGGGGTTCTTTCCGTGGAGGTGCACAAGTGAGGGAGCTTTCCTGCAGGAGCAGCTGGTTCCTTGCCTTCATTCAAGGCGGAGCTCTTGGTGCCCGCCGCAGGAAGTGCCCTTGCTGTTTGAGGTGGAGTGGTGGACGCCTCCTTTGGTCTCTTTCTCCTTTTGGCCTTGGCGCCGCAAATGCACTTACGCCTTGGGGATCGTTTGTAACCGCATATCACCCTGCCGCCATTCAGCTGTCGGCACGATTCCTTACACCTTAGCTTGGTTAGACTGGTCCACGGTGGCATGTTTTGCAAAGGCTTTTGGGTGTTTTAGTTCCCCTCACCCTACTTATTTCTGCCACTGACCAGGAGTCCGGCGACCTCGTCCGTAAGGCCACACTGTCTTCCCGGACAGGGCCTCCAGTCCCCTGGCCGTTCCCCTATCCGCCACCTGGGGACGCGCCCAACTCACGGATATTCAATATGTAATCGAGCACATAAACGTCTGACAGATATCAACAACTGTCATAGAAACCAAGCAAAGCTGCACATTGTTTCCGTAGTCCCCGCATCATCCTCTTTTGAGATGGGCCATTGCACATTTGTCTATTCCGAGTGTAATACCGATAGCACCGATTTATTATTATTGTCATTTTTATTACACAAAGAATCAGTGGACTCTTTTTCAGCATACTATAAGAATGATTCTCTTTTCACCATTTTCAATTTTTTTTCAGTTTTTCGAAGGAGTCCCTACAGCCCACGATCGTCCATCGACCATTCCAATGTGCCCAGCAGGATGATCATCCCAGCTCAGTTTGTACCTCTACCCATCAATAGGAAGTTCAGTGTGGATTGTGTGAGTGTCGTGCATTCAGACGATGTTAGTGACAGTCGGAGACAAAGTTGTTTCAGTGAAGGTGATGAACAACCCCGGTATCGGTTTTGGAGAACCCCCTCCATCGTTGTAAGTGACTATTCGGACGACATCTTGGGCCTCACCTTAGAGGATATTGAATATATTCGCAGTAAGAGAAATTCTATTTCTCCGGATTCGAGTTTACACAGTTCCTGCAGTAATTTGAACTATTGTGGTTCTTCCATTAGCGGACTTGAAGGGGATTTTGTTTTGAGCAAGCCTTACAGAAAATCTTCGAATTGTTCGACTTGTTCTACTTTGAGCGACGAGGATGAAACAGGCCAGGAAGTGAATTTGCATCCACTGAGAAAAGAGGTGAGTTTATTTTGATGATCCATGAAAATAATTACACAGTTTTCACAATATTTCAATTTCTAGACCCGTTTCGCTAATACACTAGCTTGCTCGGTAGAAATTGATATTAATTACATTTGAAGCACTGTTTGGAACCTTTGGTGTAGTAATTAATATTACTGGAGTTCTTTCCCGACACCAAACCGTTATTTTCAACATATCGACACGTGTTTCAATCACCAAGTGATGATCATCTTCCTCTTGAAGATGATCCCTTCAAGTGATCATCTTCCTCTTGAAGATGATGCCTTGGTGATTGAAACACGCGTGGGTGTGTTAAAAATAACGGTTTGGTGTTGGGGAAGAACTCCAGTAAGATTCATCAATATTATACACTGGGAAACAGTTTTTAAATACAACAATAATAGGTATCCAACTTGAGTGGTTATTAGTGAACGCGATCTCAGGTAGAATTTGTACACCAATTGCACTTTTAGTACTTGTACAACAGGTGAATTTCGAATATGAATAAACTTCTTGGTATTATGAAAAAAGATTGAACAACGGTGAGTGGTCCACCTTCTGTAGGTTGTTCATTACGGAACCCGAACGTTTACTCTTATTCATTCCCAGCAACTTCAGCAGGTTCCACTACTGTCTCTTAGCTTCTACTTGGAGTATGTCGTACATAGTATTGAAATCGTGATTAGTCTTCTTCAGCTCAGAACTTCTTTTATGTCCTTAAATTCTTATTTTAACATTTATTTGAAGTCCTTTTTCCTACAAACACTTTTGGGCATGATCCACATGGTAGTTTGTAGACACCTGATTTATTATCTTCGTCTATTTGTAACTTGTTCTTATAGGTCTACCCAAGGAGTTACCAGTCTTATATGTTATGATAATATTTTGTTCATTTAGTGTGAGTGCATATCTTTACCGGCAGCAGAAGGTTGTATCTATCTCTGGTATGTGTACAGTAGGGAGGGTGAATGTGACCCATTGTACATCCTTCCGAGGAGTTGTTCTCCCAGGTCATCGTCCATCCTGTCCTTTCCAGGAAGGAGAACAGGTCACTATTAGGAGACATCTCCTTTACATTGGCAGGTGTAGGCCAAGACTCGACGAACACACACTCTCTTTGGCAACCTTGAGGTGTCTCACGGTGGCCTCCGCGAAGATTTTGGAAGGTGCAGCGACATTACTGTTGTTGCGGGCTTCTTCAACCTTCTTGGGGTTCCTTCCGTGGAGGTGCACGGGTGAGGGAGCTTTCCTGCAGGGGCAGCCGGTTCTTTGCCTTTGTTCAAGGCGGAGCTCTTGGCGCCCGCCGTAGGAAGTGCCCTTGCTTTTGGAGGTGGAGTGGGGGAGGAGGAGGGCGCACTTATAGTTGCTGCCCACTCTCGCCCCTTTCGCTCTCTTTCTCCTTTTGGCATCGTCACCGCAAATTCGCTTACGCCTTGGCCTTTATATTACATCACGAGGTGATCTGATATGTACAGCCTCATTCCAAGCGGTAGATTGGTGTGGACATTTCTGTTCATCCCTAGCTACCGCCATAGATTGAGGTGGACACTTCTTTTCAGCCTCGGGATTGGTTTTTGTTTTTGTTGTTTCTGTTTCTGTGTTTGTTTTATTCATATGTGTTCCCACGAGTAGCAAGAAAAGGGTTGGTCACCTCTGGCAGAGCCTTGCATTACCAGAGGTAATGAGGTTTCGCCCAGTTCCCCAAGAGATTCGTTCGTGACCGCATATAACCCTGCGGCCATTCAGCTGTCGGCACTATTCCTTACACCTTACTTTGGGTAGGCTGGTCCACGGTGGCATGTTTTACAAAGGCTTTGGGGGAGTTTCAGTTCCCGTCACCCTACCTATTTCTGCCACTGACCAGGAGTCCGGCGACCCCGTTCGTAAGGCCACATTGGCTTCCCGCACAGGGCCTCCAGTCTCCTGGCCGTTCCCCTGCCCGCCACCTGGGAACGCGCCCCATAGGAAGCCCAACCCACGGGCAGGAGGTTGCATATTTTAATGAGGATCTAGAAGTGATTTCAAATTGGGGTGAAACGGAGCAGATTCATTTCAATGTCATAAACCCAGGCATCGGTTTTGTCCAAAAAACCGGACATAATAATGCCATGAGAGACAAATCCATTTTGTGCTTCGATAAGTTTGTGGGGGGTTAAAATGGACACTAATATGTCTTGGTACAATCATGTCGCTGGAATTGCAAAGGCTGCTTCTCAAAAGCCTGGAACATCGCAGAATGGTTGGAGATTTGCCTCTTTTCTATAAATACTTTCATGGAAGGTGTTCAAGTGACTTGGCACGTTTGATTCCACCAAGAGCGGTACATATCAGAAATACGCGACGGACTGTGGCTGTTCATCGTTTTGAGGTTCAACTCAATACACCTTGAACTGAACTGTTTGAAAACTCCTTCATGTGGAGAACTGTGTGTTTCTGGAATAAACTTCCTGAGAAGGTTTTTCCGAATGAACCTAATATCCAGCGACAGCGCCTAGGCACCTCTCTTACAGCGCTTCAAGGATTTTTCTGTAGTGTTTGTGTTCTGTTCTTAAAACAATCTGATGTTTATTCAATAGATGTGAGTGTCTTGAAGGTGTGGGGGTATACTTGGTTAGTAGCTTGTGGAACGTATTATGAATAATGTTCTAGATTCTATAAAAAACAACAAAATACCTCAATGAATTTTTTGCTCTTTTGTAAAATATAGCCCAAAGAAAAAAACAATAATACAAACTCTTCTAGTTATTATGGGTTTTTCTTCATAGTTCAATTTCTTGTTCGGCAAACGGACTCTCTATTCTTCACCGTTTGCCGAAAGATTAGTGTGCATAACAAATGGACGAATTATCTTTTCTATGAATACACCAGATCGTGCTGATATTCGTTAATTTGTCACTCTTCAAATTGAATTACTGCGTGTTCGGTCCTGTTACCTCGACATTGAGTTAGCACAACCTTGCTGAGCAATTTTGCTCAAAATCCAAGATTATGATCCACATTTTGTACGATCGATTGATTCAACCTGTAACGGTAATCTCTGGACGGTTTCAACATTTTTTTCAAATCTGGGACCAAGTAAATTCATTTAATGAAAATATACGACAGTGTTGAAAGATCGACGTAAAAAGCTAATAATACCAGGAGGAACTCCAACAAGAGATGTAACTGCGGTTCCATTGTTCTTCATTTTGTTAGGATTAACTGATGATCCAAAACAAAAAGACCATTATTTTTGTCATTTACTTTTTTACTATTTTTCAAGTTAGTTTTTTGTACAAATATTTTCGTGCTATTTTCTCTATTTCTTGAACCGATACCTGTCTGTTTAAAATCTGTTTTTCCGTTAATCAGCTGTCGCCCCCATACGAACGACAACTCTCAGAAGTTGAGAAACTTGTGCGAGCTGAGGACTAACGAGGTCTTACCTTTTAACGTGTGATTCCTAACACCTGATTCGGAAAACTGAGTGTAGGTATCCGGAAAACTGTAGATGAAAAATTAATAATTCAGCTTAATGAATTACCAAAATATGTTTCCAGTTTCTAGTTTGATGTGTTGTTCAAGCGTTTTTTTATGTTTGAAAGTGGTTGACAATGTTTCATGACGAATTTGACTAGTTCGGACTTCCATTGTTTACTATGATTATAATTTGATAAGAAATCTATCGAAGAACAAATAAAATCAGAATCAAAATAGAAAAAAATAAAAATAAGCAAAAAAATAGGAATTTACTCACCGCTTTACTGGCTTAGCGGTAGTTGACTCTTTTTCCCGCTTGATGAGAGGATTCTATATATTGCGTATGTCTATGCTAGCTTGGCTGAATGCGTCGTTGTTCAACATATATGCTGCTTCTCTGAACTTCCTCTTAAACCAGTGTTGCTTCCTTTGGATGATCTCAGCTTGGGACCACGTGATGTTATGTTTGTGATATCAAACATGCTCTGCTGGTTTCTCCTCGCTGTGAGTTTCTCTTGTGCTCGGCAATGGGACTTTCAACGGCCTCATTGTTTCACGGATATATGATTTGCCGCACGCACTGCTAATTGCAGTTCTTGGAATCGCAGGTCGGGTTTGGTGGCCTGTTTTTTGTGAGGCTGCTACGGATGATGATTCCGGATCTGAAGCGGGTTCTGATGTACTTGGACCCAATTCTTCTTATCCTTTCCGATAATCCTCTGATGTAGGGAAAGGCAAGCACTCGTTGTGATGGTTTCTCTTCCTTGCGAGGCTCTTGCTGTCTTCTAGCTGAAGTCTGTTCCACCATTACTTTGGAGTAACTATTCCGTTGAAGATCGTTTCTGATGATGCCTAGTTCCTTCTCGTTACAGATTTCGAAAGCAGCGCGATCCACTAACTAGAGTATTGATGATTCCTCTTTTGGTAGATTGATGATTACTTTTTGGCAATTCGTTGTGGGCTTCCTTCTCTATTGTGAAGGTAATGGACGGTTTTGCGTTGTTGATGTGCTTCAGAAAGTTGTCTAGTTCTCTAATCTCATGGGTCCATATTATGAAGGTGTCACTGTATTTCAACCAGACTCGGGGCAGAGTTTCAAACCACTCCATATACAGGGTGTTCCTTAAACACATGCTAATATTTAAGGAGGTGATTCTTAGACCCATTTTAAGAAAAAAACTTTCTATGGACGTATGTCCTAAACGCCTTAACTTTTGAGATACAGGGTGGCAAAGTTTTCAAAAATAATCAGTTTTTTAATAATAACTGAGATAATTTTGTAGACATCTTTGGCATATTTGGTACATATGTTCCATGCCTCAAGGCGCATTTTCTGATGTACGATTTTCTTAATTTTCTCTGCCAGTGGCGTACGTACGAGTTTTGAAATGTATATTTTTGGCGAAAAAAATACTACGCCACTGCTTTATCTTGAATTAAAAATTATTTTTAAAAT